TGAGATTAGCGTGGTCAAAATATCTCGACTTTCCTTTATACTATGTATAGAAGACAGTAATTTTTAAATAGGTGGCAACCTTTTTCAAAAAATGAAAGCTTTTGTACATGCGAAGGCCAGGCCCTTTGATTTGGTATCTCATTTTGTATTCCAACGAACAGCGAGAGTCTTTTAACTTTTTAATAGGTGGCAACCCTACTCAGAAAAAATAATACATTATTGCACATGTAGAGGCTAAGTCTTTTCTTTTGACAGTGATGGTGCAGAACTGATGCCTACGCTTATAATGGTTGAATATAGTAATTTTATTAACAACTCTATTATAAAAAAACATTAGTGCTTTTCTGGAGGCCAATCCCTTTCATTGAATTTACCCAGAATTTACAATAAGTAATCAACTTTAACTTTAACCATCTTAAAACAATGTCAGACCTACTTAGATCCTTTTGATTCTAACCCCTTCATCTTATTGTTTCCAGTAAATGGGAGGATCTCAAAGTTTCTAACCGCATCTCGAAGAAATTAATGGCAAACCCGCAGCGCGCAGATTTTTCCCCCAGACCGGCGGCTCCTAGACCTAGACATTTGGTAAGCCTAACCGTGCTATTTTTCACGTCATTTACTCCAGAGGTTTTATTAAGACTATAAACTATCCGAACTTTTTGCCATTTTTTCGGTTTTTCGCAATTTATTCGAAATTCTAAGGGCGTAGAAGTCAAACGGACCTCAGATTCGGGTTCAGAGGGTCTGCTTAAAAGCACACACCATTCTTTTTTTTGGGTGCTATGTATAATATGTACTTAAATATCTATATACTGGCTATTATTCTGATCTTTTTGTTTACCTGGAAATCTGATTTTAAGTATAAGAACCAGTAAAAAAAATTATTTACTGCCGTTAAACGCCATTTTCTTAAATGATAGGAAAGAAGCCATTATAGTAAGTTTTTGAACCCTCTCTTGGTAGGAAAGCAAGTTTTGCAGTGGTAACTTTGCTCAGAAATTGAAATGAAAATTACTCTCCAGTAACTTAATTTGTGAGAATTCGCTCTCCTAGCAAATATATTCAAAAAGGATCAGTCCAGCGCCTGCGTCTTGACCTGCAGGCTGTGTCGGAGTCACAGCCGCTAAACTTAAACGTAGAATACGTGTTAGTATTAAGATCACATTCAAGTTAAAAACGGTACATGAAATATTCGTTTTGATTGTATTGAATTAAATTTAATAAATCAATATGAAATGCAAATATTAATAATTAGCAATAGAGAAGCACTTCAGTCATATGTATAATCAGCTTATAAATAGATATATGCCATGACGTGTATCATTATTTCGATTCATTTTTATTTCGTTTCGTACTGCAGAAATTTGTATTACTTTTTATATTAGCCTATGTATGTCCCCGTATAAGTATTCTTCTTCGAGTTCATACTCGTCTTCGCATTATCTTCGCCTTCGGATTTGTTCATAAGTTAGCTAAGACTTCTGAAACAGTTGACAACTCTCCTAAATATAGTTGAGCAATAAACAAATCTTCAGCGTCTGATATTGTCATACCTACGTAAATATTTCATGTGGCTGATGAATTAATTTAAGTTCAATACGTGACAACGCTCCTAAATACAGTTCAGAAATAATTCTTTTTAACTCATTTCACTTGATACCCCCATTTTTAATAATTGCTTTAACTTATTAAATAATTTGAGTTTACGTTTTTACCACGTGGCAACCCTCTTTAATAATCTAAATATTTAAGCTAAGGATAACTTACCACCTTTGTTTCACGAAATATTTTAATATTTCATTTAACTCAAGCATACTTTATTTAAATTCTAATTTTGAAAAAATATTTTCAACCCACAACGTCTTTCGTCTGATATCCATAGCAGGATATGCACTGTCTTTCTTTAAGTCGAACTTGCTTTTTGAAACCGGTGGCAACCCTCCAACATATGTATGTGTAATTAAGAACCCTGCAAACCATTTTTTCAGAGTATTCTGAATCGTAAAGAAATTTTAACGAATTCGGAAAGATCCCTTCCGATTTTTTTCCGAATTTTCTAAAATGAAATAAATTACGCACATTTCCATTCTTTTACGAAATTTCGGAAGAAAATCGGTGAAGAAATGAAAATAATGCTGCTATGTGAAGAATTTCTTTCAGACTTTTTTCAGAATTTTCTTTATTTTTCGTACAGAAATTTCTTTACGAGTTCGTGTCAACCACTTCATATAATTTTCTTTGAAGATTCGGGAAAAAATCGTTACAGAAATCAGATACTCCTAAAGATTTCATTAAGATTTCGGGAACTTTGGTTTGCAGGGAAATAAAGCCTTTCAAAAACATTTCGATCGATACTCATACAAATAAATTTTATTTTTTATTTGGTCAACAAACCAAATCACAAATCAAATATATTTCTTTATTGATAGCGGATTTTAAATCAATAAGAATTTAAAAGCACGCAACCCTGCCACCGCATGACCATGACGTTGACGTTGCTTATTTCTCTCTCTATCTCTATCAACAGCAAATTTGATATGTTTCTACGCACACGTTCGTGGGTAACCGCGCTCTAACACTTATTTTTCCGCTTCCAGCGATAAGTGTCCGTATCCAAAAGCAACGGAAAAAGATATGCAATAACCCTTTCCCACTGAGAGGAGCACACATCTACAAAAAATAAACTACCTGTTCTGTTTTGTGGGTTATTTTTTCTCTTAAATAGGGACGGTTATTTTGGGACACTTTCAAAGTGTTGAGGGATATTTTCGTCCTCTGGTTTTTACACATGCACGTGTTTGCAAATTGATAACTTTTCGCACAGGTTGCAACCCTCTTCGAAAAATAAAACTTTTTGCAAATCGGACACCTCTTTTTTTAAATTGAATGAACTGTGCAAATCTAATTTCATTAACAAAAAATGCCCTCGCGTATTATATTAACATAATTTTTAATTAGGTGGCAACCCCACGAAGTATCTCCTGTCATCACACACAGACAGTCAGAGCATACGCGTCTTGGCACCCACGTCACTGTTGACAGTTACAAGTTTGAAAAAGTAGACGACTTCATTTATTTGGGAACCACCATTAACACCAATAATAATGTCAGCCTTGAAATCCAACGGAGAATCACTCTTGCGAACAAGTGCTACTTTGGGCTGAGTAGGCAATTGAGAAGTAAGGTCCTCTCTCGTCGTACAAAGATCACACTCTATAAGTCACTCATCATGCCTGTGCTGGTGTATGGCGCGGAGGCATGGACAATGAAAGCATCTGATGAGGCGGCTCTTGGAGTTTCGAGAGAAAGATTCTGCGAAAGATTTACGGACCTTTACGCGTTGGTGATGGCGAATATCGCAGACGATTCAACGATGAGCTGTATGAGCTTTACAACGATATAGACATAGGGCAGCGAATTAAAATTCAGCGGCTCCGCTGGCTTGGCCATGTCG